CGGGGCCCCGCGGAGCGGCGCGGAGCGGGGCGCGCACCCGCGATGACCATCGGTGGCCCCCGCGGCCGGCACCCCCGCCTCCAGATGCCCTGTCTGCGCAAGGTGAGAGCACCGGCACCGGCCCCACGGGCACCGGGCACCGCACCGGGCACCGCACCGGGCACGGGCGGCGGGGACTGGGCACAAGCACCGCGGGGACCGAGCACCGTGGGGACAGGGCACCGGCACCGTGGGGACCGGGTACCGAGGGGAGCGGGCGCTGGCACCGTGGGGACCGGGTACGGGCACCGTGGGGACCGGGTACCGAGGGGAGAGGGTGCTGGCACCGAGGGAACCGGGTACCGGCACCGTGGGGACCGGGTACCGAGGGGAGCGGGCACCGGCACCGCGCTGGACGCCGCGGGCATCGGGGACCTGGAGTCGGGATCACCGGCGACCGGGGGTACCGGCACCACCCCGTGTCCCGTGGGACAGTGGGCACCACCCCGGCCCCGCCACGGGCCCCCGGGCACCGCCCCACGCGGGGACACCCCCGGAGCCCCTGCCCCGGGCGCTGCCACAGCCCCGGAAGAGCTCGGTCCCCAAACCGGGACTCCCCGGCCCAGGGATGCCCGGCGGGGGGGTGCCCGCACCCCCGGTGTTGGACGCTCGCCCAGGCTGTCCCTCAGCCTGGCACAGCGTGCCCCAGAACCGGCTGTGGGATGCCAGGGTGTCCCCAGAACAGGGTGTCCTGGGTCGGGGCAGGGGTGGCCAGTCTGTCCCCAGAACGGGCACAGGGTGCTCCAGATCCAGCTCTGGGTGCCAGGCTGTCCCCAGAACGGGCACACAGTGCCCCAAGTCTGGCTGTGGGGTGCCAGGCTGTCCATAGAACAGGCACAGGGTGCCCCAGATCCGGCTGTGGGGTGCCAGGCTGTCCCTGGAATAGGAACAGAGTGCCCTGGGGGGGGTCCCAGGCTGTCCCTCAGCGAGGCTCAGTGTGCCCCAGGTCTGGTTGTGGGGTGCCAGGCTGTCCCCAGAATGGGCACAGGGTGCCCCAGATCCAGCTGTGGGGTGCTAGGCTGTCCCTAAAATGGGCACAGGGTGCCCCAGGTCTGGCTGTGGGGTGCCAGCTGTCCCTAAAATGGACACAGGGTGCCCCAGGTCTGGTTGTGGGGTGCCAGGCTGTCCCTAGAATGGGCACAGGGTGCCCCAGATCCAGCTGTGGGGTGCCACGTTATCCATAGAATGGACACAGGGTGCCCCAGGTCTGGGCGCGCACCCGCGATGACCATCGGTGGCCCCCGCGGCCGGCACCCCCGCCTCCAGATGCCCTGTCTGCGCAAGGTGAGAGCACCGGCACCGGC